CTTGTGGGTTTGAACTGCTGACCTTGCGATTCAAGCTGACCTTGTGGTCCAGTGCATTATCCTGCATTACCATGACCCCATCCTTTGTATATGGGGTGATTAAACATTTAAATAGAAAATTGTCCATGATTTATATAATCATTATACAACATTTATTTCTCACTGAGGGAAAATCTGTGTAATAGATTTCATAGAGAAAAAATATGAACCAGTATTATAAACCACTGTATTTTAAAGCATTAGAGTGGAATATAGTATCTTTAACTCTCTTTTCAAATGAATACTATTCCTTTAAGTCTTACTCAAACTTAAAGATACATCTAGTTGAACCAGTTTTTTGTAGTATGGTGGCTTGCTTGTTGTGATACTGGAGTCATGCCACTTGTATATTAAGTATGGGCAGGATCACTTGGGTTTCAGCAGAACGTCCAGACTAACATAGGCTTGAAATAAAGGCCTAATGATCTACTTCCAAAAATGAGCCAACAAAAACCTATAGATCAGAATAGAATACTGTGATTTACTTGCTGTGGACACATCATTAGGAGGAACCAATAGTCAGAGGACATCACATATGGTGATGTAGTAAGCCAAAGTAGATCTGGGCAACCCTTGAAGTGGTTCTTAGCAACATAGCCACAATGGTGAAATGTAAAATATGCTGTTAATTGCAAGGATGACACAGGACAGAGCTATGTTTTGTTCTGTTGTACAAATGGCTGCCATTAGTTGGATTTTACTAGATGGTAGCTAACAACAACAGCAAAAATATAGGTGATGTCCAATACTTTTATAACTTTCATTACCATTTCTCCAGCCCAGATCTTGTTTTTGAGGATCAGAACCGCATATTCAATTGCTTACTGAACATTCCTACTTGGTTATTTTCTGTTGGGAGGTCATCCAATATATTCAGAAGTCATCTGTCCTACTTTCTCAGCTACTGCACCCATCGTGTTATCTAAACTAGTACCCAGTTTTATCAATAACTTTTGTCTATCTATTCTTCATCCTTAATCAAGTTATTTTGTTCATAATCCTTAAACATTTCTAGAATTCTTTTATTTCTCTCTATGTTCATTTGTGCTCCCTGTGTGCATACCCCAAGAAGGAGACTGTTATAAATATTTTTTATAATAATAAGAAGCTCTGGTAGCATAGTGGTTAAGAGTAGGTCTGTTGACTTCATGGTTAACAGTTCGAAACTGCCAGCTGTTCCATGAGAGAAAGATGAGGTTTCTGCTCCCATAAAGATTTACAGCCTCAGAAACTCTATATAAGGTCACTAAGAGTCAGAACCGACTCCACGACACATAACCACCATAATAAGAAAGGAAGCTGACTATGATAAGACTGTGAATGATTGTGGTCTCGGCTGGAGTAAGGATTTATCTTATAGACCTAGAAGGTTAGTAATACAAATTGAACTTCAGAATTGGAGCTACATTGAAGTAAGGAGTTGCCTTTTATACCTAATGTGAGTCAGTTATTGGCCACTTGTCAGTTCTGCGATGGTGAGCTCCCAATGATTACTCCAATGCTAAACAGCTACAGTTTTCTCTGGTGCAATTTCTGTGGTACAACATAAGCTGTTAGAAGTCTGACTCACAGCAGCTAGGTCAAGGGTGCACTGACTCTGCATCTTCACTGGCACCTCCAGAGTCAAGACTGCTATCCTTTCACACAAAAATCATTATGATAAACTCTTAATGGCTATTCTGTTTCCAGTCTTCTTTCCATACTGTAGGGAGAGCTAACATTTTGAAATGCAAAGCCAACCACATCAATTCCTTAACCTTTCTATCTCAATTCTTCATCCTACATCAAGTTATTTTGTTATAACCCTTAAATATTCCTAGACTATTTCAAAGTTTCTCAATTGTCTTTAACTTTTAGCTGTGGCATGGCTTGCAGAACTTTCTCATTTCAATCTCTCTTGCTTAATACTTGCTATTATATAGTTTTAGATGTTCAATGCTCAACAAATTTCCTAGTATGCATTATAGTTCCCAAACTAATTATTGAATGAGTAGGTGAATTAGTAAACACAGCCATATGGAGTTATTTAAGTTTTCTGACTATGTCATACTCTTTTTCACCTACAAGAAAGATATTTTATCTCATATGTAATCTCTCACAGCAACTTCTTGTCTATAAAGCCTATGACTTCTTCATATCTTCTATGTCCATTTTTGATTATTTTAATATCAGAGATGTGTCTTGATCCCCAGATCTTTGTTCTTTATTTCTGCCATGTGTTTTCACGTCACCAATGTTGTCACCTTATTAACATTTATCACTGTGTTGTAGTCTTCTGCTTTCCCTTGGGATTCTCCTAGTAGATTGTAAATAGTATCCAGTTCTCTTTACTTACAACGGAATGTCCTGCAACTATTTCTGTTAAAATATACTCCTTGTGTTATAAAATCTGTGTTGGTTAACGAATGAATAAATAAAATAAGAAATGGAATATAGTCATGCTGAAGTTGTTTTGTGTGCACTCAGAACCATACATTTTTATAACACAACTTTTTATAATGAAACATTACCAAAAATTTATTAATAGAGAAAAAACAACACCTTCCCAACATCCATGATATAATAAAACCTAGTTGAGAGTAGAGGGCATATCAAGGTAAAATATTTGCCTACGTACTGAATTTTAATAGCATTTATTTCTCATTTCTTAGTTTTAACAGTGAAAAAAAAAGAAAGAAGAAAACAAATTCTGAATTTTGACACCCTACAAGTTCTAACTGAAAAATTCTCTTAGTGACTTAGTCAGATAAATGTAGGAAAAAATTCCCTGATATATAGTCTATTTTTTCTTTATTCAATTTATTTGTCTTCTTTTATAATTGTAAATATTCATTCAATTTTTATTATTCACTAGGCACTGTACTACATGTTAAAAAAGATTCTATTTGTCATATAATACTTTCTGGAGTACAATTTAAATAAATAGTAGCCTTTACCAAACATTCAAAAATGCTTTTATTTCAAATATCACTCTTTCTGTTGGGTTATTAACGTTAGATAGGTGACATGAGCGATAAGAAAATTTTCTAAATCCCATAAGTGAATTTGGAAACATGGTCTAATTTCACTCCTGATCATTCCAAGATTAAGTGGTCTATCATTTTTCCAGTCCTAAAGTAGTTAGTGTCCTGGTGTAATGCTGTAGGATAAGCACTCAACTGAAAAACACAAGGTTGATAGCTCAAACCCACCAGCTGCTCCTTGGAAATCCTATACAGGGTTGCTATCAATCAGAATTGACTCAATGGCCTTTGACAACAACAACAACAAAGTAGTTAGATCCTGGTGTGGTGATGTAGGGTAAGTACTGGACCAGGTCTGCTTGAAGCCCGATGTAAGCAGTTCACACACATCAACTGCACCTAGGAAACTTTGCTATGAGTCAGAACCCATTCATACACTGAACAACAACAATAAAGCAGTTATTATAATAATATTGCTGGCAACAAATGATCATAAATTGTAGTAGTAGATAATTAGTTAAGAAATTAGTAAAAATTAATAGGTTTTAAATTATTGTTATGGAGTCCTGGTATGGCACGATTGGATAAAGCACTGAACCGCAAACTAGGTTTGAACTACATGGTCAGTGGTTCAAACTCACCAGCTGAGTCAGAACCTACAACAACAACAACAAGACATTGTAGAGAACTTGGAGGTAAAACATTCATAGAAGACCTGTTTCTGAGTCAGGATTTTGCCAGTAGCTCAGGAGCTCCCTCAGCGCAATGGGAGTACTATGGTTCTGCAAGAGAGGGACTGGACTGTTAACTACAAGAAGGGCAGTTTGTGCCCAACAGCCACTCTGTGAGAGAAAAAAAAAATAAGGCTTTCTTCTCCAATCCCTGTACAAAGTTGCTATGACTTGGAACGCACTTTATGGCATTTAATAACAACAACAATTACAGATAGTGAGTCAATATATACAGTGTTCCCAACACAATTCTGGCTCATTAAATGGTAGTTATCTGGGTTAATGTGCTGGACAGCAAAATCAGTTTGAATGGCAAGGTCAGAGGTTTGAATTCACCAGTTGCTCCTTGGCAACCCTATACAGGGTTGCTTTGGATTGGAGCTGACTCGGTGGCACTCAACAACAACAACAACAATATAGTCATCAACAACAATATGGTAATCTAGTGGTTATGAGTCAGGCTGTGAATCTCCAGGTCAGCAGTTTGAAACTGCCATTGCTTCTTTGGAACAAAGATGAAGCTTTTTGCTCCTGTGAAGATTTACAGCCTCAAAACCCTATGCAGGGTCACTTAAGATTAAGAACTGCCTCCAAGGCACATGACCACCACCACCACCATTAGAATCATCTGATGTATCTCTCATCATTGCTTGACAAAATATCATAACAATTAATAGACTGGGCTGCAAAATTAATCAACTTCTGGTTCCTGGTTATTTATAGATTTGCTTTGGTACCTTTTTGTTTCTGTGATTTCCTTACTGTAAAAAGGGATAATAGAAATGTCAATTTCTTTGTGCTGATTATAGCATTTGTTGATCAGTACAGTAAATTTTATTATAGCTTATATGTAATTAAAGGGAAAGCTTATGCATTCTATTAAATGGCTAATGCTAGGTAAACAAGCTTTAAATTTGATAAACTTTCAAGTGTGTAAGACATGTTCCTGTCTTAGATTTTCTCTTTTTTTTCAACTCTTTCTAAAGTTGTGCTGTGGGATAAAGCACTAGGCTGAAAAATCAGTTTGAACTACAAGGTCTGTGGTTCAAACTTAACAACTGCTCCTTGGAACTCCTATAAAGGGTTGCTCTGAGTCAACACTGACTCAATGACACTTCATAACAAAAACTGCTAATCAGTTATAATAACAATGAGTTATAATATTCATTGTTAAAAAATTTTATTCCATAAATATTTCTTTCTGAGATCATTGTGAATGTTCTTTTGACATTTTCCTTAGTTGAATCATTTTAGGATCTATAAATACTTACTTATTAACTGAAAAAGTTTTTTTACTGCACAATTTTATAATGGCAATTTTCATCTGGGCATTTCTTAAAGTATAGATTAATGGATTTAACATGGGAGTTATGGTGGTGTAGAATACAGCAACTGCTTTGTCAATAGATAAAGTGGCCACAGGTCTCAGGTATATAAATATGCAGGGTACAAAATATAATATAACCACTGTGATGTGGGAAATACAAGTTGAGAGGGCTTTGCGTCTCCCCTCTAAACTGTGGGTCTTCAGGGAGTACAGGATGACCACATAGGAGACCATCAACATGAGAAAGTTTAATAGGCAGATAAACCCACTGTTGGCTGCAACAAAGAGCCCAAGAATGTGAGTATCAGTGCAGGCAAGGCTGAGCAAAGGGTTCAGATCACACATAAAGTGATCTATGATGTTAGGGCCACAGAAAGGTAACTGAAACACAAAAATGATTTGTATGGTTGCATGAAGAAAGCCTCCCAGAAAACAGACTCCCATTAGCAGACCGCACACTCTGCGGTTCATGATGGTTGTGTAGTGCAAGGGCTTGCAGATGGCCACATATCGGTCATAAGCCATCACTGTAAGAAGGATGACCTCAACACCGCCAAAGAAATGTTCCCCAAAGATTTGAGTCATGCATCCAATGAATAGGATGGTCTTCCTTTCACTGATGGAATCAATAATCATTTTAGGGATAGTGACAGAGGAATAGCAAGTATCAAGAAAGGAGAGATAAGCCAGGAAAAAGTACATGGGGGACCCCACCAATGGGCTGGCAATAATGGTGACCACAATGAGCACATTTCCCACCACAGTGATGATATAGATGATAAAAAACACAGCAAATATTATTTTTTGCATCTTTGGATCATGCGTAAGTCCCAGAAGAATAAACTCAGTCACGTTGTTCCTATTCTTCATATATTTCATGTGATCAACAATTGAGTTCCCTGAAAAGAAAGAAATTTTATTATTATAACCTTGAATTTCTTAAGGGTTTTCTTTCTAAAAATGATGTGACTTGATTCTATTGATTTGTACATTTTATGTTGTTGTTTTTTTTTTTTTGAGATATAAAGATTCTGTGGCTTTTTAAATTTTATTTTAGTAAAACTATATATAAGGAGCTCTTGTAGCGTAGTGGTTATGAATTGGGCTGCGAGCCGCAAGTTCAGCAGTTCGAAACTACCAGTGGTTCCACGGGAGGAAGATGAGGCGTTCTGCTCCGGTAAAGATTTACAGCCTCGGAAACCCTGTGTAGGGTCGCTATGAGTCGGAACCGACTCCACGGCACTTAACAACAACAACAACAACAACATATATGTTATTGCTTTTGTTGTTGTTGTTAAGTGTTGTCGAGCTGGTTACAACTCATAGCGAGCCTGTATAGTATTTTCAAAGACTAAACGGAATGATTTCAAGCCCACTCCTCAAAAATCCTATGCAGGTTCTCAGTGAGTTGATCCTGACTCAGCAGCACTAAAAAGCAGTGACATATGTGCCAAAGATTTTCCATTTCAACAGTCTTCACGTGTATAATTAGTTATGCCATCTCCCTTATGCATTTTTTCTGGTAGTGTAGTGGTTACAAGTCAGGCTGCTAACCTCAAGGTTAGTAGTTGGAAACTACCAGCAGTTCCATGGGAGAAAGATGAGACTTTCTGCTCCCATAATGATTTATACCCTCGGAACCCTATATGGGGTTGCTATGAGTTGGAACCAACTTCACAGGATACCATTCCATCACCCTTAACTGAAGCCCAGTGTTCCCCAAGCACTGAGACCTTTCTTTCTCTCTCTGACAACTCCTGGTAATCACTTGTAAACTTTGGTCTCTATACAACTTGCTGATTCTAGATATTTAATGTAAGTGAGATCAGTGTTTATCATTTTGTGACTGACTTATTTTACTTATTATGTTTTCAAGGTTCATCATTGTTAGAGCGTGTATCAGGACTTGGATTGTCATTATGGCTGAGCAATACGCCATTTTATGGATGCCCCACATTTTATGTGTTCATTCATCTATTAATGGACACTTGTCCTCCACTTTTTCCTAATTTGAATGCTACTGTAATGAACTTGGGTGTACAACAATTTGTTTGCTTTGCTAGTTAGTTTTCATTTGGATCCATACTTAGAAGTGATGTTCTGAATTCCTGAAATGGCTTCCTTTGTGAAGATTGTGTTAAGGATGGAGATATGAGGGACTTCTGTGAATACACTGGACAGGACATCAGTCATGTAGACTTTGAAGTAGTGACAGATAAGCCATGGATGTAAAGTGAAGAAACTTTTCTTCTATTGTTTATGAAATAGAAATCCATGCAAGGATTTTGAGAATGAGTGGAAGGAAGCAAATTAATTTGAGTAAGGAAGAGTCTTGAGATATTACTCTAGTAAAAAAAAAATGTATTATACCTTGAATGAGGTTCATAGTGACGGTGGAAGCCATATACAGAAACAGCCGTTAGCAGACAATTTATTGGCATTGATAAATGCTGTGGAGACAGTTCTGACTCATAAGGAACCTATAAAGAGATTTTGAGGAGCAGATGGTGGGCTTGAACTGCTGACCTTGCAGTTAGCAGCTCAGTGCTTATCCTACATCACCACACCAGAACTCCAAGACTTTTAATATTAGTTGACATTTATAGTAGGGCATTGGTGATGCAGATATAAAAAGGACACAGGAGTCTACATAAAAGAACTCTAAGTTCTTATTGTCTAAACCCAATTCACTTCATAATAGCTGAAAAGATATGGATGTTATGACTTCTGTCCTAGTGTGGCACTGTGGTATAAAGCACTCTACCTAAATGTGGTTCTGAATCACAAGGTCAGTGTTTCAAACTTACTAGCATTCACATATGAATGAAGGTGTTGGGGAAGAATATTGTTAGTACCATGTATTGCTAGAAGAACAATCAAATCTGTGTTAGAAGCAAATCCCCTGGAGAGTGACATAATTCTTGATAAAGTGAGAATTAGCAAAAAGAGGAAGACCCTCAAAGAGACTGATGAACACAGTGGCTGCAAATATGAGCTTAAACATAAAAAGAAAAATAGCGTGAGGTTAACACAGGACCAGGCATTGCTTTTTGTTTTGTTGTACATAGGGTCAATAGTAGTCAGGATCAAGTGAACAACAGCTAACAACAACAACCACAACAACAATTAGGGGTGGCTCTCAGGGAGTAAAATGAGGCATTCTGCTCTGTTGAAGGTATATAGCCTCAGAAACTCTACACAGACTTGCTATGGGTTGGTATTGCCTTGATGGCACAGCCACCATATGTGGGGTATAGTAACAAGAGATTTGTACTTACAATTCCACTTCATTTTTATAAGAACATATTTATTTGGCTGGTATTTTGACCCATTTTGCAGATAAGAAGATAATCTAAGAGACATGTATTAGCTATAATAGCAATGATGATAGTAACTAGAAGTCACTGAGCACATTGGATTATCTAAGTGTTCCATAAACTCGGGTCATTTAACTGTTATTGCACACCTTTGAGGTTGTAACCACTATTACTTTTACACTTAGCTTATACATTAGGAGACAGAAGATGCGAGAAGTTGAGAACTCTTCCTAAATATAGGGACAGAGGCTAGTATATTCAAAGCAATTTCAAAAGCAGATCATATGATATAGAGAGACAGATAAATAGATAGCATCTTGGAATTCTAAAATATTAAGGAAAAGATAATTTTTTCATTGAAGGGCATCATCATCTTGGGTTTTATTTAACCCTTGCTGTTGTATTTGTTCCTGTGTGCCATCGAGTCAATTCTGACCTATAGTGGCTGTATACTACATTATAATTACCCCGTAGGGTTTCCTTGGTTCTAATCTTGTGACAGCAGATGTTCTGAATTTTTCTCCCACCAATGGATGCTGGGTCCTAGCCACCAACCATTTAGTTAACAGTCCCGCGCTTAACTATTGTGTCACAGGTTTCTTTCAGCACCTGCTATCTCCTCTCTAATCTCCTTACTTCTCATACTTCAGACATAGCATCAGGAAGAACCAGTCACTGGAGAAGGTTATCATGTTTGGTAAGGTGGAGGGCTGGAGAAAAAGAGGAAGACTCCCAGCGAGAAGGATTGGCACAGTGGCAGCATCAATGGGCTCAAATGTAGCAACAATTGTGAGGTTGGCCCAGGACCAGGCAATGTTTCATTCTGTTGTACTTAAAGTCACTATGAGTTGTTACCAACTCAATGGCACCTAACAACCACAACACTCTCCTTGCACAGGAAGGTCCCAAACTAGTTTTCAATAATGTTACAAATGACTGTCTGAGTGGCTAAGTTTATTGGTTTTAAAGCAAATACCCTGATCTTGAATCTTTCATTTGTAATTCTTTTTATCTGGAATACATTTCTTGATGTTTTATATCCTTTTTTTTTTTTTTTTTTAATAAAGAGGATAATGATGTCCACCTTAGTGGTTGTTATGAGAATGTAATGATGGAGCACATGTAAACACATCCAGCACAGTGCTGGGGACTCATATTAGCACTTTACTCATTTCATTTCTTATGATTGTGTGCCCACCAAGGGCATAGGAAGTGTTGACACCTAGAGCAGTAATCCAGAGAAACATTTAAGCATGCTATGTTGTTGTTGTCATGTGCCATCGAGTCGGAACCGACTCATAGCGACCCCATGCACAGCAGA